ATAATAAATTAATGACAGTGCACAATACCTCCGTCTGCTTTAACGGATTTATGCATTTATCTTAGATGAGCACGAGTGTGTTTCAAGTCCCTGTCATCATAATAGTCAGTGTGAACTAGTCCGTGACTCTTTCCAGTGTGTTTGTCCAGAGGGATGGGAAGGAAAGGAATGTAAAAGTAAGTGATGATAAAATTCCATTTAATATTGATGATAATTGTGATGATAATGATGATGATGATTATGATTATGTTGATGATGATGACGATGTCGTTATTGTTGATGATGATGATGTTGATGATGATGATGATGATGATGATAATGTTATAATGTTAGTATTTGTTATCTGAGAAATTTCAATTTGATTAGCCTATAGCAGTTGTATTTCAGCTCAATTTGGAATACTGCCCCGTCGTGAAGTTAAGAGGAAGCTTGTGTAATAACGACAGCGACAAGGGTAAAAACATCACCAAAAATGTGAGCAATTGTATCTTTGAAACTTCATCGTGATTATTCCAACTCGCCCACTTGGCCCGCGATAACTCCTGGAGTTGAATTCCGTATCCACGTCCAGAAATAGTACAATTTTACATCGTAGTCATGTAGAAACGGCAAAGCAAAGAGGAAAAAGTGTGGTACACGGGCCGAGTTGCTGTTTTGCTAGATCCACTTCCTTTAGTAGTATCTGCGCGCGACTTAAGTGTTGGTATTGTTGTGTTATTTTTTAGAGCCGAAGAAATACTCAGTCTACCCTAACAGCTGTCTGAAATTTGATGGATATATCTCCTTTGAGAGCAACCTAACTTTGTTTTCCTGTTTTGAGAAGTGCAACAAGGATTCCAAGTAATTTTTTGATACTTACTTTTCCGCATTAAATTTTTTTGTCATCAAAGAGCCTAATAAATCAAAGAGGTCATGATAACTTAAGTATGAATTATGTTAATATTTCAACAACTTCCATGCTTTGCTGCTTGGCTATTTTTGCTGGTTTTTCCATCAGCGAAATTGACGTGGTCAAAACTGGCTAGAACAGTTTGTGTAGAGGCAACTTTAAAAGTTCTTGGACTAAACAATGCGCGCCTTTTTCTCTCCTGAAACTATTATTACTTTTTTACTTTTTTCTTTGACCTTAGTAGCTTGCGAACCGCAGACTTATTTCCGTTTGTCGCTTCTCTCCCTCCGAAAAATAACGCCTGCGAACCCGAGCGGCAAAACGATTTCCGTGAACGTTATTTTTCAGAGGGAGAGAAGCGACGACCGGAAATACGTCTGCGGTTCGCAAGCTATGACCTAAGCTGATCAGTTTTATGCATTAATTGTGCTTGGGTGGTTAATTTCTTTTTATCTAAATCTTGAAAATATTTGCCTTACATATTTTTGTCACAGTAAGGTAAAATACGGAATATGGCAAGGTAAGACCACATCAATGTAGACGTTTTGGAAAACGTCGTTTAAAGCTTCTGAGGAAGAGCCAAGTGTTCCGGATATTTTCAGTTCGACAACCTTGTTCAAATTTTGATCTTGAGTGGCTGAAATAGGGCCCCAGTATGATATTCCATCTGGAAAGAGCATGCAAACAAACAAGCAAATAAGAACAACAAACAAAACAAAACAAAGCTTTTGACTTGAAGCTTTCAAGGGCTTATTCCGACCCCAAAAGTCATGGAAAAAAATACAGTTTTTTGTCAAATAGTTGATATATTGAGATAGCTAACTTCTGGTTAACCATCTATTGTGTTACCCAAATATAGATAGGTTTTTTTACAAGTCCAAACAGACTGTGAGCCTGAATTTCAGCTAAGAGTCTTAGGTGGAAGGACAGCTCCGAAGCGGGTACGCGAGACACCCCTTCCTTGGTATTCAGCAATCTTAATAAGGTAAATTGCGTTTCTAAGGTTTTTCTGAGATTTTCTACTCTTCGTTTTAGCTGCAAGTCGTTTGACTATGGTCGAGGATACAACAAGCACGGCTCATTCCAAAGTGACCTGTACACGAAGGATGTCGGCCAGTGCAAACGTTGGAGTGTCGGCAAATCTAAGTACGGGATAGAATCGTGTCCTTTCGACTACTTTGAGAAGGAAGAAACGTCGAGGGGCAGCATGACAACGGTCGCACAATTTATCGTTTTAGTAAGCTTGTCAGGGGTGATGTCTGTGATGTTTTAACATTCGGAAGGAAACACCATCATGTTTCTGGGATCTGCATTCTGCCCTGCCAGTAGGATTTTGGATTTTATCTTCCTTTTGACGGTACCTTAAGAAACGTTTACACACCGGGTGATTTTATCGCGTGACAAGAGCACCCGTGTAACATTGAACCTGATATCACATCCCTGTATAAGGTGGCAAGACGTTTAAGTTCTGATTTTCCACCCATACAAACATGTATTTGTTATCCTTTACCAGTCCCATGCACCATAACGAGATTAAAAGCTTCAACGACTTGTGGATTTAGGCTTTGCTGCAAAATCCGGATTTTTTTAGGATTTTTAGAGATTTTGTGGAATATTTTCAAGATTTTACGATTCTTGTCACAAGACTAAGCCTGAAACTTGAAAACGTTTCCTCACAAGCGAGCCAAAGCATTAAGGTAGTGCTGAGCGGGCGATTTTATCATTAATTCAGCATTTCTTACATCTCTGTAAGGTCAAAATTGATGCTCTAAATAACTCACCTTATTATATGGCTGAGTCTGTTTTGGCCATGCGATTGGTCAATTTGCGGTCCGTAACTTGCTAAACCGACCAAAAGTTTTGAAGAAAATGCTCATTTCGGAGCTCTAAATCTCTTTGCCTGGGAAAAAATGTTTAAATAAAGTTATAAGACGCCTGTAAACCTTGAGGATTTGGATGTTGACTTTGGCCTTCAACATTTTAAACTGTGTTTATTTGTGAACGAAGGCGATGAAGAAACTAACTCGTAATCTTATCGAAGAGGATTCTAGTCAGTGTTTGAAAATTTTATCGTAGTACACAGTTAAAAAGACAAAAATCGACTGGCAGAGATTCGAGATGTTTTGCCTAAGAGAATTTGAGTAATTCCCGCAACAAATATGATAACAAACATACCTGCAGCCGATCATCTTGACAAGCTTGTTTGCCATTTGCAGTGTTTCTCCAAAGACCAACGAAAGAAAGATAGAAGCGAGTTCGAGCCTTTTTTCAATAATGTCCAGTTTTCAAAAGACTCCAGCGTCACATTAACGAGTGAATACTTGCAGTACTCTTAGTTTCCACCGAATAAACTTTGAAATATGTATGTAAACCCTAAGGACTGGGATGTTGACTTTGGCTTTCCAAATTTTAACCTAGCTTTGTTTTAATGAGAACGAAGCTGTTGTAGAAACTGAATCGTAACCTTACCGAGAAATCACAACTGAAGACGAGAATGAACTGGCAGAAAGAGAGGTTTTCCCAAAAACAATTAAGGAGCGAATCCTTTGTCAATGACAACAAACTTACCTTGAAAAGCTTCTATGCCTTTTGCAGTGTTTTTTCACAAGGACAAACGGAGGAAAGATGGAAACGACTTCTAGACACACACAGTGTCCGGTTTCCAAAATACTCCAGCGTTACATTAAAGAGCTAAAACTTACAGTGCTCTTAGTTTTGACCGAATAAACTTTTTTAACATGGCGAATTTGTTTTTACTTTCTAGGAAAGCCTTTGTTATGTGCTATTGTTTTTGTGCGCCAATAAAAACTTTCTTTTTTGACACCTGTCAAATGACTGTCAAGTCGTGCGTCCTGCACTTGTTTCCGGTCCCCCAAACAGGAAGAAGCCATATAATAAACATCTTATTAGCCTCGTTTTTTCGGTCTGTACTGTAAATTACGAATCCTCGTTTTAAAATACGAGATTATCTTTTGAAGACTTTTAGGAGTGTTTATGTAGTTTTGGAGGTGAAACCGGTGACTTGTAGAAACATTTCGGAGACATTCCGGAAAGATTTTTGGCCATTTTTAGGGATTTTCTTAGATAAGCCGCCTATTTAGCGGAAAAATCACCCCCTTGTCATGTGAAAGAGGGCAAACAGACGATACCTTCCTGTTCATCTGTTTTGTTTTCGTTTCTGCTTATTTTTTGTTTATCTGCTAAGGTCGAGGTTTAATAAGTACCTTAGCTTAGACGAGCCACAAGCTTTGCGCAAACCTGGGATATGTAAAGAATCTTAGCTTGGTATCGATCTTCTATTCTACTTTGCAATCTGACACATACCCCAATCATCAATCGACTAAGAAACAATTGTCAACAATCTTTAAACAACAACTTAAATACCTTTATCTTCAACTTGAATTTCAAAATGAAAAATATGTTTTAGATGGTTGAACAATATGGCAAAAGAGCAACTGGTCAAAAAGTAACTAGTCACATTCTAGTAAAAAAGAAAAAAACCCTTGTCACCACTTAGGGTTCATAGAATTGAAGATATCTTTAACACGGAAGGTCACTGGAGACAGACGTTTTCGCACCTAATTGTTGACTTCGGTTACCTCGTTTTTCATCATCTGATATATTTCGTCTCGTCAAACTTCTTCCCTGCACACTTAAGCCGGTTTATAGTCACGTTATTTTAAGCAATTGAAAAAATGATTATCACGGCTGTACCTTCTCTGACGAAAACAAGCTCTACTTCCGCATCCATATTGTTGGAAAAACATCCGCTTCATCCACTGAATATGTTTATCGTCTAGAAACTTTCATCATTTTCCGAGAATTGTTAAATTACTGCGGCCATCTGGGCATTCTCGAACGATGACTTTGCTCGCCTTTTTTAGAAACATGAGTTATTTAGTCTTAGTAGGTGTATGCAAAAGAATTTCCTGTCATTTAGAAACAACACCACTATGAAAACGCTCTGCTGATACTACAAACAAACATTTTAACCTTCTAATTGATAATTTTGTACCGAAATTGTGTCGCTCAGTTTTTCCTTGTCACTGATTTGTAAAATCTTGTGCTTTAAACTCTCCTTTTAATTCAGTACAGGATGTCGTTGTATCACTCAGTGTAATAAGCTAAGAACTGAAGACGGCGACTGTCTCGCTTGCGCCAGAACCATAGCTGCCGCTCGCGCCAACATCTGCGACTTCGTCAAATCAGTCGATTCTCTCGCCGCAGCGATGTCCGCGATCCGATCTTCAGCCGTAGCTACCTGCTTGTCTATGCTCCCTAGACTGTTAATCACATGGACCAAAGGTTGTCGCTGTCTCAGTGCACCTAAAGCAGCTCGTTGGCAATCTACGGCTTCAAGTGCGCCGTCATCAATAACGGCCATCGCTTGTTGAGCGCCACCCGTAGAAGTCAAATCAGAGTCTTCAATGGTGACGTCCCTCGCTGCACCAAAGCCGATTTCAGTTCCCAGATTACCGCCAATAGTGATTTCGCCTTTTACTTTATGTGTAGAGGCGAATATCTGCAGCTTTCCGTCTTCGCCAACAAATGCTTGCACATCATCAGTTTGAGCAGTGATGTATGTTGCGACGTTTTCAAGGTGATCACCTTGTTTAGTTTGGAGGGTAATCGATGTCGCTTCACCATGCTTGTTGATGTAGTGGAGCGATAAGTTGGTACTAGTTGTCACAACCCAATCCGGCGACACAGCGTTCTCCGCAACGTACTTCTTTCCACCCAGTTCCACCGAATCAGCGCGTATGTTTCCTAGAGTTATCACCACTGTCTCATCGGAACTCTCGCCGATTTGGAATGACTGGCTTCCGAAGGAACCGTTCAGGAGCGTCTTACCACCGAAAGACGTGGTTTCCGCGATACGGTTAAGCTCACTACAAAGAGCAGTGAACTCCTCTTGAATTGCAGCTCGAACAGAATGAGCGTTGTTCACGTTAGATGCTTGCAGCGCCAGATCACGCATACGTTGAAGAATGTTTGTAGCCTCGTCCACTGCATCAGCAGCTACCCGAACTACGGAAATCAGGTCGCTAACATTTCTCGACGGTTCGTCTAAACTGTGTGAGAAACGAGTGGCCAGCCGAGGTTCACTTTGAATGTGAATGCGCATTTTAACTAAAATTATTTCAGTTTGATGTCTACAGGCAACTCAAAATAAGTCCCTCGATTCAAACACTGAAATTTCTTACGTGCGCATCGATAGTTATTTGATAATCCACTCGGGCGTGTCTAGCTAATGTTGACATAGACGAATCAGATGTGACATATGACGCAATCCTCGACCAATCAAAGCGGGCGAATTTTAAAATCACCTGAGTAACTTATGCTAAATATGATTATCGTTGTAATTAAAACTGTAAAGTAAAAGAAGCATTGTTTATTCAAAATCTTAATCCAGCTTTTGCTGTCAACACTAGCAGTGATTCTCTATTTTAGAATAGGGGTTGCTATATATATATCTAGAAGAATTTTTGAAATTGTGCCTCGAAAAGGTCCAGGATATTCGCACAGGAACTGGTGACTGCGGTGAGAATTTTCATGTTGGGCTTGCTGTCTTGGTTTGTCTCATCGTCAAGCTCAATCCCTGAGCTAACTTGCCGTGGGGTGGAAAGGGGCCTCCATGTCAATCCCTGCGGGGGAGAGGGTGTTGCAAAAGCGTGGTATGGTCAGTTAGTGTCTCTGGAGAATCAGTTCACTGATCATGTGTCTGCTTTAAGTTTGTCATGGCAAATTCTTTACATGTTTCAGGCCGATTGGCCAATAAAAGGATTCCCCTCACCAAAGTACTCGGCTGCGAGGCCGTGTCAGGTCAGGGGGGTGATGTGGCCTTAAATACTGCTTAGGGCTATCTTAAGTCCCGAGCTACCTCTGTCATGTAGAGCCTCGATGTATTTTTGATGGACTTGAATATTTCTTTGCTAATCAGGAACCAAAGAGAGAGTCACCTTAGAAGGCTTATGAATAAGAGCTGAGTTCCTTACACTATTTACTTTGTTTAAGTCAAGTTAGGCTGGGTGACCTTGAGTTGCCAGCTGGTGCGGTTTTCATAAATTCGTTAAGGATATGAGCGCTATATAAATAAAGTTATTATTGTTATTATTCGGCTAGATATACACTGTTAATATTTTTCTTACTAGGGAGCTTAAGCAACCACTACGGCAACGGTAGCGAAAACGTCACCTTAAAAATGAACCCGCGCTGCTTCAAACTTTATCACGCTTATTCCATCTCGTTCAGTTCACGAAATGTTGGCGAATTTGCCTGGAGTTGAATTCTTAAGGACTATATAGAAGTTCAGGAAAAGAACTGCCCTTTCCTTCACAAAGTCGGATTACTCATCTCTTTCGTTCAAAGAACTTTGATTAATGTTACCTAAATCTACGGGGCTTAGAGGGCTAAGTGAGCTACGAGGGACTCTCGGCTCAGTCACGCTCTGAGGATAGGAAATCTCGCCCGTATTCCACGAGAAAAATCGCTTGAAACCCTGACGAAACTCGTCACTTGCAAGAGAGCAAATGAAAAAGTTTATCGATGAATTTATGATGACGGAAAAAACGCAAATATTGAAATAAACCCAGAGATATTTTTGTTGGGCAATTTCTTTCCAGTACAAAACAACGAGGCGAAAAACGTTCAAGGGAAGCATGGTGACAGCAAAAGCTATGACGACTGGAATTAGAAGCTTTTTTGCTTTGGAGTTTTGTCTTTCTCTTAGCCTTTCCCGATGTCTTTGTTCGTCGATCTCGCCGTAATCCTCTCTTATGGTTCTGTTGAACTTGCTGCTGGCACGAAGTTTCCGCGAAATGCTATGAAAGGTACCAACGACAATAGTCAGTGGCAGGACATAGCAGAAAACGGTCAAACTCATGAAGTAGGCTTGTCGCATCTCATCTCCATCTTCTTCGTTTGGCCATCTTTGAGTACAGTCACTTATGTTGAAATCTGGCCTGTAATCGAAGAAACCCATGACCACGTATTGTGGCACCGAAATGATCAGAAACGACAGAATCCAAACACAGACGACCATCCAACGCGCTGACTTGAACACGGTGGAACCGCGCTTGGGAAGTACTCCTCGGACTATGGCTCTATGACGATCAACAGCGATGAGAGTGATCGACCAAACCGACACGCCAAAAAATAAATCCGACAAGGGAAAGACGCACCGACAGAGAAAAACCCCCAGTGGCCAATGATACGGGTCTTGCTCCTTCACGATCGTTGACGGAAAAGAAATACGCAGGATGCCCAAATCTGCTACGGGGAGATTTCTTACAAAGTAGTTGATAATAGTGTGCATCTGTGGCTTAAAGGTTATTACAAGCTACACCGACAGAAGCGATAAAAACGTAGAGGGCCAGACGTAAGATCTGTGCCCATTACACCTCTTTGTAATAAGGCGACTGGAAATCGCTGCTGTCTCCCGCAACTGTTTGATTATCACTTAAATTCATCTCTTGTGTTAGGATCGCCTTTTCTCCAAGTGAAGTAAAAACACTTTTACACTTGGTCGTGCTGCTGTTCTTTTCCTTTTTCTCAAGTCTCGTGCAATCCAACACAGTTGTTACAGAAACCTTTACCAGCGGTTTAAGGTGTGTGCAAAATCCTTCTTTAGCTCAGTTCAGTCGTCAGTTCAGTTTCGTTCAACAATCCGTTGAATACCAAAAGTTGCTTTTCTGGTAGCGTGGCCGTCAACCTGTCCTGTCCTTGACACAATGAAAGCCTTGCGATAGCATTACGTACAATTACGTACAGTACGTCTTTTAAAATACCAATATGCCTTGCGGTTACAGGTACCGAAGAGCGCCTTTGGACTTAAATTAAGGCCTTACGCTGATAATGAAATTACCAAGCATGTAGTTTATTTTGTTTTTTAGTGCTTTGTATTCTAAAGATATTTATCAAGCCTTCTTTTGTTAACTGGAAATGCGAAAAATGTTGGGCAGTGACTTCTTCCGCACTCACATTGGTTAACATCCTGTATTTTAACCAAAAAACAGGCTTTAAATGCAGTTCAGTCTAACTGTTTCTTTTACATGATGTCAATACTATACAAATTTTCATCACAGAAAACTGAGTAACTGCAGCAGCATTTGGCCTGTCCATTTCTCCAGTTGATAATATACCAAGGTGGAGATGTGTATGCAGGTGACCATTTATCTTGCTTGCGTGTCTTGGTTTATTTCCCTCCTAGAGTCGCTCAGTTGTTGGTTTTTGGCGTTAATTCATTTTCACATTCATAACCGGTGGCGATATTAAGGCACTTTCGCTCTGACGACGTAGCAACAGGCAAAACACGGAACTGAAAAATATAAAACAAAAAAAAGGATCACGTATTGTGGTACATTGCTGGCTTCAGACGGTTTCATAGTATAAAGAGAAATGACAACCATGAAACGCTATGAGGTCCTGTGAGTAAATGAAGTTTGTTGGGGAAATTTTGATGATCCTTCCGCGAATTTTTTTCGCCAAACTTTATGTATGAGATTTTCAACTTTTTAAGTGCCTTCTAGAACAATTACATTAATTTAGCAATATTTTGTTTTATATCAACTTGTTTTAAAACAATGTTCGTTTTGGATCTCCGCTGGTGACGTCTGACAATCCCGATAGAGTGCAAGCTATCTCCATTTTAAAAGCAATTGCTGATACCTTTGAAACAATTGATTAAAAAGCATCGTGGCTTTGTCTTCCCCCTTATTTTGGAGAGATGAACTGACTTTCGCACTTGTTAACCGTTCTGTGCCCATTTCTGATATAGAAAAATTTTCAAGTTGCTGACGAATATAAAACACAGTAATAGCCGAATGAAGTTAAATTTTGTACAAGCCATGTATACATATTTTTTGAAAATTCAGAGACAATTTCATTGTTTTCAATTTCCAGTATGTAACTTCAATACTGTAATTGCTTTTGTCGAGGAAATATACTGAAGTCAGACAAGTTTTAGCAAGTTTGAAGTAATCTCACTCCGCGTTTGAACAAGGTTACCTTTTAATTTCAGAACTGTAAATTTTAATTTCCTTTTTTAAAACTTCGCCGTTTTTCCAGAAACGCGTTTCTTCAAGACCGTCTCTTTCATGATACAGAAAACTCTAAAGTTACAAGTCGGCATTCCTTTAAATTCGGCGCCGGAAAAGAGTTATAGGAGCGAAGGGTACTCAAAAAGTATTATACAAGGAAATGGAATTTCCGGCGTTTGAGTGGATACGAAGGACTGCTTACTTTTTGCACTCTGGTGACTATTACATGGAAAAACATTAGCCTGCGAGCAAGCTTTCCGGGACGCTCTCTGGCGTGGCGGGAAAAGGAGGGACAGCTTGCAACTACTTCTCTGGAACTAGAATTCCACCCTCAATTACCCTGTGGCTCCCCGTCGACTAAGCTGTCAGATTTCCGCCAATTAGCGCGTAGCGGAAACGAGTGTGAATGTGAACAAACAAGTGCCAAGGGTAATGACGTCATTACTAATGTCATATCCGCCAATCGGCATTTCGTATCGTCTTTTTCGATGCAGATATTCAAATTCTGGAGACGTAGTTGCAAGCTCTCCCTCCTTTTCCCGCCCCGCCGCCAGAGCGTCCCGAGAACTTGCTCGCAGGCTGTGTTGTACTGCGTAGAGGAGCCGAAACTGATGCGGTTTTGTGTTTTGATTTCACGCTGCACCTTTTGTCACATAATCCTACTGATGAGAATCAAAGGCTTTAGAACTAAAAAAAGGAAAGAAAAAGACGGTGGATTGCTCTAGCAACGACCAGCCGTATATTCCCGCCCTTCTTGGGAAAACAAAAGGAAAAGTCTTCAAATTTGTATTTAAGTGCTTGAAGGTTTCAAGAATATGTTTTAAGGAACTCATTCATTCATTCATTCTAATTACGCAGGAGACTCCCAAAACAAATGTTTTTGTGATCAGGCCCCGTGCTGAAGCTGCTAAGTGGGTGTTTAGCTATAGGGGAATGTCATGTAGAATGGCCTTTGAAAGCAAACTTAAAGATGAGTAAAATCTCAACTCCTTCAAATTTACTCTGATTTTGTCTCAAGAAGTTGTGGTAGTTCCTATTTAAAAAAAAATTCCACAGTCTCAGTCAAAATTGTTGGGAACCTGATCCGAAGGTTTTTTTTTTAAACGTCAAACACAAAGAACGTTTTTCGGAGCTGGAAGACGTAGTTTTTGCCCCTCTAATAAAAGTAACAAATTGTGCCACGGTATAATTTGAAAACACCGACGGAAATCATTTAATTAGAAAGACAACTTTCGCATTTTCCGCACCTTACCATGCAAATGTGGTAGTGGCAGGGTTTGTGTTTTAAACACGGTATTCAACGGGTTGAGCAGAAATGGTTTACCACAATAAGCTGGTCATTTTAAAAGGACGTTTCTATAGTGTTTGTTTTAAATTGTCCCAGCTATTTTTGTCTGGGATTGTAGTCACACAATTAAACTGAACAGGAAAATATCAAACTACTTCTACGGTCTAGTAAATGCGGTCGTTGTTGACGTGAAAGCTGCTCGCCATTTTAGGTTGTTGTACCCTAAATTCTGAATAGCCCTCTATATGTTCTAGGAACGATTATTGCCTTTTGTTTAAGCTAATTGCTTGTCTCTGATATTTATTTTCATGCAAAAACTTCATATTGGTCTTTGCTTTAGTTTGTTATCCGTGATGTTGGAACGATTTTGTTTAACCCGTGAAGGGTAGATTACTGCACAGTATTACACTCCTATTTTACTGTTTTCTTTTGTTTTCAGGCATCTGTTTGGAACTTATCGTTATATATATAGTGTTTCATGGGTTAAGCAAAAATCATTCTATGCGTAATAACCTCTGCACATGAGCGCCAAATAAATAGCCTACAAGGTCACACTAGAAATGCTTCAGTCTCAGTTGAGTTAAAAAAGGACTCAACATGCGTAGAAAGCCATCAAAATAATCCTTTTTTAAACAAAATGAAAAGCAGTAATGACCTGATTTTGGCCACCTTGAGGAGGCGATACACAAAACGAGGCTTGCCATTAACAATGTAGTGGTTTATTGATAAAAACAATAAAAGGCAGGTTCCCTAAGAAATGGTCTTCAAGTTGAATAGCCTGAAGTGAGTGGTCCTACTGGACTGAGGCTTAAAATTGCTTAAGAGCTACTACAAGAGGTCACCAAGCTGTATTCATCTTGACAAAAAAAGTAACACCTTTTTTCGAAACAACTAATAAGTTGTCTAATGTGAGAATATTCTAGTGCTTTTCTCTGTTCTAAGTTTTTCAACTGTAAACAGGTACGTAAACATTTATTCATTTGTTCGTAAAGAAACATTCAACGTTACTATAGAATTCAAATTAAATTACGGTAACCTATTTTCGTTGTACCCTTCCAAAATCGAATAACAGGTTCTATAAAACCTTAGAATGAATTGCTCTTGGAAATTTGTTGCGAGGTTTTTTATTTGTTCTTTAGGTTGTAAGGAGACGTCTACTTTTGACTGGACTTTTTTGGTTTTCAGTCAGTCAAAGTCTATTTATTGCTTCCCCGAATAGCCGTGAAGGCTGTCGCTTTCTTATGACGGACAATAACTGTTTTGTGTTCATTAGCCGAAAATTGGTTTTCGCCTTTAGCTTTATTCACGATTACTGAATAAGGCTGAATATAATATGAGGAAATATACAGGTTAAGAAAGATGGACAGCAGCCTCCTTGCTTAGCATTCCCAGTACATACATTGAGGTCAACAAAAAATTTCCCGTCCAGATAGGGGTTAGTGTTTTGTCCTTTTTAGCCGTCACTTGTAAATGAAGCATACACGAGCTAAAAACAACAAAACGGTCAAAGACTACTGGAAACAAGTTTGAAAAATAAGAAAGATGGCGGCCGAGTCTCGGAGAAATTTTTCTTTGCTTTCCAAGGCTTTTTCTGGAAATTTTCTTCGCGATTTCTACCCCTCAAGGGCTCAGCTTAAATTTAATGGAAAACAGAAACCCCAGTTTTTATCACATTCCTTGGTTTGAAAGACTGTGGTGGTACCGTTCGCAATTTCTGCAAACTTTGCATGGTTTTAATCCTTCCGTGAAAGTCCACGCACCTGAAAATCCATACAAAAATGGCGAGTTTTTGATGTGTTTCTATCGGGAAAAACCCAGTGAAATCCGATACTGAGCTGGCATTAATCGAAGGTATGCTCATGAATTTAATGTTTCTCGTTATTTATATTCCGGTGGTACTCTTTGAGAATTGGTTACGAGTAACTCACAGTCAAAGACGAGAATGCTTAAGACCACATCGTGGGTCGAATGCGGCTCTAGCTTGTTAAAATTACCGGATGTGGCCGAGGATTCTGCTGCAAGCAAAGAAGAAATAAAAATTGGGAGGTTGTCTTTTAAACTAGATGAAGGAAATAAATGGATATTTGTATTTTTTTTCTTTTACATATATACGATTGCAGTTAAAAAAAAATTACACTGGAATTTATTTCTGAAGCATTACAACACCAACTAATGCCTTAGAAGATTAAATCTACCATTGTTTAAGGCAAGTTTTACTGAACGTTTAACTGAAACTTTCCATCTTTCTTAAATGTAATTGACGTTCACCATGACAGTAAAAACAATGATTATCTAATTCGAAATTTACAAGGGCTCATTTTTTCGCGCAAGCAACGGTAATCTTTTATAAGATCCGACAACAGATTCTGTGTTACTCTAAAAAAAATGTCAAGAGTTTTAGAAATCTGAATCTCTAAGGTTTCTCAAGCTTAAAAAAGAATCTAAAAGAGGATCTTATTAGAAGTTACGTGTAGTAAGCTTCTTGTTTTTAGTACAAGCAACAGGGCCACTTTTTTTTCTGGCAAAACAAACAGGAGTTGCGCGCCAAACTTTAGCTTGTCAAGACCGCGGCAGTATCTTTGTTTTTTCCTTTTGCCTTAAAAAATTGGCTACCACTTGTTGATGTAAAATTTGTTCTTGCAGATTTTCCATTCCTCAATGTATTGATTGATGCCCATTATGGACAAATGGCTTGGTGTTTTGATTTCTTCGTTCCTGTTGCAGCTGAAAGGTAACTCTGCTGAAAATTAAGTACAACGAACTATTGCCAAGTTACGTGCCCGCTAGTCACACAGGGGCGTGGTTTGAGTCTTATCTACGGGATCGGGATTACCGCGGCAGGATTAGCTCAGTCGGTAGAGCGCTTGACTGCAGAGCGGGAGGTCGCGGGTTCGATTCCCGGGGCCGGACCAATACTCAGGGTCTTAAAAATAACTGAGAAATGAAGGTACTTCCTTTTCCCTGCAGGCGGCTGGACCTNGGCTTTTTTTTTTTTTTTTTTTTTTTTCTTAATCGAACCCGATTTGTCAGCGCTGACGGTGCTTCGTCTCAGGGATCGGTGTTGGGGCCTCTGTTATTTCTGATATACATTTCGCCTTTGGGTGATATCATCCGCAAACACGGCCTCTGCTACCATTTATATGTTGAAGATACATAGGTTTATTCAACATTCGCCTATGTTGACGCCCAAGAACTTACTGAGACCAATTCAAGAATGGATTAAGAATTGCATCTTAGTCGCATTTCGAGATTTGGATGGCTCTCAACAAACTGAAGCTCAACAAAGGAAAACTAAACTACTTCTTTTGCATTTAATTTTTCGAAGGTGTCTTACACTGGACTCACTTACTCTGAGAAATGACAACGTATATACGTCCGATCATGCGCGCAACATTGGGGTGGTGTTTGACACTATACATTGACGTTAGAAAAGCATGTCTCAATGCCTTTTCCATCTCAGAAACATTGTTAAAATTAGGAAGTATTTGCCATATGAAACATCCAGAACTTTGGTTCTCTCTTTTGTTTGCTTAGACTGACAATTGTACCGGATTATTTACTTTATGTTCTCTCTAAATACCGAATAGAATAGTTACAGAGCGTGCAAAACGCTGCCGCTCGAGTCATGGTGAGAGTTGGTAAATACGAGCACATAATTTCAGGAGCTTCATTGCCTCCCAATAAAATATAGATTTTTGTATCCAAGATCAATTTTTGAACATTTAAATGTTTACACTTTGCTGTGCCATGTTATTTACAAGATCACTGCGCTTTTTCTGCTCCGTGAATGCTGAAACCTGTTAAGTACAATATGAAAAATTGTCGCAAGTCTTTTGCAGTACACGTACCTCTATTGTGGAATGAGTTACAAGCAATTATACGTTTGTGTTATGGTTTATCGCTTTTCAATTCTCGGCTGAAGACGCACCTTTTTAAGCTTGGTTTTAAGTTGCATCCATGGGGATTTTCTTTCTTTTAATCTGTTTATTATTTCTACAGTTTATACTGTAAATTAGGATATTTGTTATTTTTAAGATTATGTAGCTCTTAAATCGCCATATAAATGTCATGATCATTATTATTATTATAATAAATGAAATATTTAAAACTATTAGAAATTGACAATTGACAAATAGTTAATTCTATTTCTGGGTTAATTTAAAATTGCTTAAATTGCAATTACCATTGCAACGATCATATCTTCATTTAAATTACTATCTAACATCTGACAGCGAAATTTGATTTCTCTTTCTAGGTGTCATTTCCTCGCCATGTGACTTCAACATTTATGGAACCCATGGGGTCATCACTTCGGAATCAGCTAAGAACCTTATATCTTGTCGTTGGGTGATTTCAGCACCAGCCAACCACAGTATCCGTTTGAACTTTACAATATTCCAGTTGGATTCACTTTCTTCTTGGAAACCTACTTATATTGAAGCCTACAATGGGAAGAACGAGAGCAGCACCTTGTTAGGAAAATTTACGGGAACAAGAGGACATTTTACTGTTTGGACGAATGGCCGCTTCCTTTTGATTAAGTTAACAAAGGGATATAAGTATTCCCTTTGTAATTTCAAGAGTGTTTTTGCTACAAGTAAATCAAAAGGTGAGTTTCAATACTGTGGCTTCAATACTACACCTGATGAGTGATATGAAATGTACCGAATTTATTCGATCAAACGCCGCGGCGTTTATTAAATTTTTAGCGTTTCCAATGCTAGTCTATGCGGCGTTTATTCGAGGGCGGCGTTTATTTCGAAATCACCTTTTTTAAAGTCATTGACAACAGTTGTTGTAAATCGTTTGTAAATATTGTGTAATTTAAAGGTTCCAGTGTCTCTCTTATTTTCCTGAGATAGAATCGTAAATGTCTGGAAGGTGTAAATTACCAAGTTGTACCGAGGTTTTTCTTATTATCCTCGAATAGACGCCGCATTGTTCTGATTGGGTGTGGCGTTTGTTCGAGGTCGGCGTTTATTCGAGGGCGGTATTTAATCGAATAAATACTGGTAACTGAAAATAGGGTCATCTAAGATCTTTTGGTATCCGTTTAGTCTGGATGTTGATGATTTCTCGTAAAAACATAGCAGTTCATTTTTCTCTCATTATTTGTGTAAGATATATAATTCAAGGAAATATTATTTATTTACATTAAATGGTTGAACTCAGCTGCTGTTGTTCACCATGAATGGAAGTATTGTTCATATACCGCTATTTTTTTCGATTTTCCCACCTTGTGAGGGTGGGTCAAGGTTGTTGTGAAATAAGAAGAAAAAAGAAAGTCATTTTGCTTTCCCTTAAATTTTTTTTGAAGAAAAGGCAAGAATAAAGGATGTTAACCAAGAAGTTCGAACAGTACCAAGCCACTATGTATGGTGCACAGCTGAGGGGACACCACCCATTAACATCTCTTTGTTGCAGTCCTTCACAAACCTTGCTCTTAGAGTCGGACTTGTCTACGGCAAAATACAAAAGACGGGAAATTTTACTTGTAGAGCTAGAAATGAGGCTGGCACAGACTCGAGAGATTTCTCAGTTGTTATTGGTAAGAATATTGAATAAACTTAACAATAAAACAGTAAAAAATCATTCAAAGTCAGAGACTGCTCACAGAATTGCCTAATTTTCCGTAAGATCGTCGGGATCGAGCACCTTCCCTCATGGGTGGCCATCTTGGCCTCAGATGTACCGTGTTTAGCCTTGGGATGAGTATCAATTCTACTGTGTGCTTGGACGGCGTTGAACGGTTTTGGAGGAGGCGAGGAAAAATAGATTGACTGTCATTACTGTAGTTTACGTCCCTACAGGGGCCGTAACAGGGATTTCACGCCTTTTACCATTCATTAATCAACAACATGTTTACACACACACATGGCCATCTCGCCTTCCTTTTCCATGAAATAAGAATATCTAATGCAGGCTAATTACAGCTTGCTAACTGAATTTGTGTGCTGTAATTCCTGCCACTAGCTTGTGTAAGTTTTAAAACTCCTTAATTTTACTATCCTTTGCTTATTCCCTTTTTTATTTTCCACTTGTCTAAAGCTTGCGGAGCTCCCTGTCGTAGTGATGGAACTGCAGTATTGGGTCAGATAGAAAACACGTATGATTGTAGTAGAACGGAGTCGACGGTTTCAGTTTTGAAGTGCGTCCCTACGACGACCACAACATTGTAAGCTCTCAAATTTAGTACGTTACTGCTAGACTGTATACTTGTTTGTATCTATCTTAGTTTCAAACTCAGGAAAGAGAATTGCTACAGTTTAGCGCCAAGAACTTAAAAGAAGATTAAGATCTTATTAATAAGTCTTATTTGATTGCATCAGGGTAATAAAAGAAACAACAAAATGTTGCTACAAATAGTGTACTTGAGTTTCTTTAGAGCGTATTACACCAGTGCTCTTGTCATCTTGGTAATACATTTTATTACAGTGACGCGCAATTACAGATAAGCACTTGGATGACCAATATTTCCTTAAACCTAAAGTGTCCCTTTGTGTTTAGTAAATTATTAATGAATAATTATTATCATTTACAACCCTTCCCGCATAATTCCGGATACGATTATAGTTCAATATACAATTAACAAAGCTTGTATCCAAAGAATAAACCCTTTGAAAGCAAAAAGGAATCGTACGAACTGCTGTCTTTACCACCAGTCTTCTGCGGTCTATTTTTTCATATGCGCGCCGTCGATCTGTAAAAAGGAGGGTAAAAAGAATAGGAAAGGGAGCTGAATTTGCGATGTCCTAAATTAGTTCCTCATTCATGATAAACTATATAATATGACTTGGGTATCTTTATTTGGGAACGTAAATATGTTATCTTCTAAATTAATCAGTATGATGATATAATTATTCGTTGTTGATGTAGAATATCCAAACACACGTTAGTCACCTTTATCATACACATTTTCTTACAGTGAGGAGTGATTACAAAGACCGAAACTGAGACCGAAGTCTCCTAAGTGCAATAAACAGATTGAAATCAGTTCGCGCTAGAAGTCGGCCTTGGTGATTAATGATTTAAAATTTCTTTTCGGTCTCCTTGAGAAAAGGTTTCCTGAAAACTTCAATATAGTGTTGAAACAAAGCTTACGAATATTGTCATACAATATTCTTATTTCTTTTGACTATCTATCGCATTGATACTAGTTGAGAAGGAAGGTTAACGATGTTGTGCGTTCTTCCGGCAGTAGCAGGTCTTGAGCCACAGAAAGTAGACTAAGCAGTCTTATTATTCATTCAAAATATTTCTCCTTTTTTGATTGGCTAAAATCCCACGCATAGTTCATCAAAACCGACTATTGTAGATTAAATTTGGGAGAATTTTGCCATATTGAACCGATGACGTCAAAAGTACAGCAAAGTTGTAGATTATTGAACCGTTAACCGAGAAAACCTGGGGACGAGTTTGGGTTGTTGTGGTAGTGAGAACAAAAATGGCGGACGTTTCACTCGTGTTCACCAGGAAGAAACAGGCGAACTTTTGGTTAAAAGCCTAGCAAGAACAGCAAGAAGACAATTCGAAGGGCGACATCTGCTATTTGGAGAATAGTTGCGGAGCTAGCTGAACAACCCTTTAGCTCCTAAACTTACCGATTAACGTGCACTATCGAAGATGAACTTAACATCGTTGCAGGTAAGCATTTTTTAGCTTGTTTTTAAACTAGAAATTATTATGAATGAATAATATAACAATTATTGAATTTGGCTTTCGTATCATCTCAAGAATTATGGAGATCTTGGAGGGTGTTATCGGCCTCGATCCGTATGATTTTTCAGATGATACGAAACCCGAAGGCCGCCCGCTATCCACCATCTTTCGTGGTGACGTCGTCCGCATCCGCAGTTGACAGAATAACCCCAGCATCTAGGTAGAGTTACCCAGAATACTGATCGCATTTGTACTTCTTGCATTTTCAGGAATTTAGGATTTAATAAAATTACGAACCTGTCAACGGAAGCTTTTTCTCGACTGACTAGTCTTCAGAAGTTGTAAGTTTTACCTGAGTTTTAATATTTTTGTTATTTTTTTAAGCACTTATCGAGGGAAAACATTTTCTGCTTTTTCGAAGAGGAAGCCAACTTCAGTAAAAAGACAGTGCTGTGTAAATTACCTAACGGGGTTTGAGTGTACTTGTTATGATATGATAATATGAAATTCCTCATCAATACTGTTGAGAAACGAAGTACAAACCCTTCCCTCAAGAACCTTCTTAGAGAAGGTTGCAGAAAGCAAAATGAAAAAGCAAAATGTTGTCCATTGAAGTACGCTTACGAGACACTTGGAAGAAATTATCCAATCACAACGTTTTTTGAAAACAGAAGATTCTCAAGTCTTTTTTTGCAAGAGGAACAATGACATTCATTAATCTGAGCGCTGTTTCCTTAAAGGTCAACTAGATTTTAACGGTTTAAAAGTTTTCAACGGTTGCAGTGTTAAACCTTGAATTTTAGCGGTATGTTTGCCTGAACCTACAACCAATTTATTTACAATCCTCTTGTGGATTCGTAACTCTTCTTCTCTTCTTCTTCCACAACGCTGACGAAGTTTGAGTGATTCGAACGAAATATTCGACGGTTCTTTTCCTCCACTCTCTATTTGAATTTTTGCCCTGAGTTGTAGAATTTTCTGTACTAAATGCCTTCGCCAGAGCAAGTGAAAACCGTTTTGATAACTGAGAATCTTTTGTATTCAAAAACTTTGCGATTGGATAATCTTCTTCCTAGTTCGAGTAGTCGCACTGTAATGAAAGCTAGTCTTTCTACCAAGAATAATGTTTATCTTTTTTTATCCTTTCTTTTTTCACCCCAAACTGTTGATCTCCAGGGTTCTTAGAGACAATCTCATTGTTGAACTTCCCGAAGCTTTGTTTTCCCAACTTAGGAACCTACAACAACTGTAAGTTAAGTTTATAGCTGTTCAAAATTTCTGATCACAGTTTTTGATTAAGAGTGTGTCCATGAGAAAACCAGGCAGAACCAGGTAGGGGGTGATAATGCTCAAATCACCGATTTCGCTCCAACTTGGCACAAATGTTAGGTATCAGGAGTTAGCTTATGTAACAGAATGTCAGGTCAAAATATTAAATTCCCTGGGAGATCCGGGCTCCCCCTGTAAAAATCGCCATTTTGCCCGTTTATGCATAATTAATTAGCTAACTTTAGTTTGGGCAATTCACTTTCTTCCATGTGTTGACATAAACTGTTCATGTGACTGAACGACTTTTGCATATTTCATCAAAATTCAGGCCCTCACATTATTCGTGTGTTTGCCTTTGAATGAGGAGAAATCGAACAAAAAAACTCATCAGACAATGATTTAACATTAATAAGGGTAAAATCATAAAAATTGTTGTGCAAGAAACGCTAACGATGATTTTTGATAGCTATATACGCGATCTTTTCAAGTAAAAACAACATACAAAGATTTAATTCACAGTTCTACTTACTTTAACAATTTCGCCCTAAAAACAATATAAACGATCAATAAAATCCATATACGTATCTCTTAGATGTCTCAACTGCTAGTTTGTGCCCGCTTTGATTTGTTCTTCATGCCACCTTCGATGTCCAGTTCAGCGTAGTTCAGCGTCGTGACTCGCTGTACGACTAAAATTCCTTAGCCATCAGTTTACGCACCAAAATCCAAATCAAGTTGTTTTAGGACAAAACAATACGAAAGGTAAAAAGCCGATTCTTAACCCATTGAAAGAATTATTTCTGCCACTGTTGTAGCTCAATTCACATGTTGCAAACGTCCGACATCTTTGACATTAAATGGAGCCCGCATTTTTAAGCAGCGGTTGCCACCATACGGAAACATCGTATCGGGAGTCAGGAACCAGGAGCCAGGAGCCAGAGTTCAGTGAACAAAATGACTTTCCGACATTCTCTGAGATTATTTTATTGTTATTGTATGCTGATAAATAATTTAGAATTCCAAATCTATTGGCAACTTTATTCAGACCATGATTATAAATGATCCCATGTCTTCTCAAACTCGGAGATAGAAGTCGTTTTGTCTTCGTGTTTTGGAAAGAACTATTTTTTCTATTTTAGTTGCACGTGAAATAGCAGCGAAGTGAAGCCGGATGTTGGTGCAGACCAGTTCAAAGAGACAAATAAAGCGTGAGACACGTCCAGATTGGCTTGCGACAAGAATTCCATTTTTTTTTCATACTGGAGTCCCTTCTCCCCGGGGGAGTGTCCAAATTGCGTACAAATGCCCTACCCTGCTGGCACCAGATTTGACTGTCATAAACAGTGAATTTTTTTATCTCGCACGGTCTTTTGGGGGTCTTATAAAGCCTAACTGTGGCACTAATGTTCCCAAGTAGAATTCAAAATACACCACACTTTCACATTGAGTTAGATATTTTTCTCAAACAACCGCTTCCATATGTTTAACACCCTTCCCACATTCCCTCCGAGAGATACTTCAACTGTAATACTTCGATTTCAAATTTCTCACCCTACCCAGGTAAGGTCAATTTTCTCGTCCTAGACATCGATCTCGGAAGGGCCTTTTTGCGTACTCTTGGGCACCAAAACCAGTTTAGTGCCCAGCCGTGTGCCGTGCTGAGGCAGGCAGATGTTGAATTATGGACAGACACAACAATTAAGTTACAGACATTTGATGTTCCGGTCCGTGCGTGGTCGGAAGACACCCAGTAAATAATGCCCATGGGGTTGCCCAAGGAAAATTTGGGTTTTACGAGAGTCGAACTGCAGGAGGTCTTTAACGAGGAAAAGTGCGGACACATCTACTTTTTGGAGTGAATGTACTGCATGCAATTTTTAAGTTACAATATACTATAGATAAATCTAATTTGTTTCTAAAGTTCCTCTCATACTCCGAGTAGCTTAGGACATACAGGGAACGCAGAGATCAGACCATTGCATCATGGAAAATTCTCAATCAGACTGTCATCGTAAAAAGTGGTCGCGGTCGCTTACTGGATGTGGATGTGTTCGTTTACAGGAGGTTCCAACTACAAGCGCTTTGACTTGATAATATATTTGGTGTGTTGAATAAGTGATCGCTTATTGGGAAGTGGTCACTTAAGTTGGGTGGTCGCACGTAGGTTCGACTGTGCCTCGTTAAGCGAAAATTTGTTAAAATGTAAGAGAAATCCTAAAATTGTAATACAGTGGAAGCTCTCGTACGAGGGCGCCCTCGGGACGAGAAAAAGGTGTCCTTAACTGGATCTGGCCGCTTACAAGAATGAATCTCATATGCAGCATAGTTATGCAAGTGGAATTCAGCCACTTTAAAAGTGGTGTAAAGGTTAGATAGCCGCTTACGGAAGCTCCTCCCAGCTACAAATTAACACTGGTAATAGCAAAAAACTGTTTTTTAGTGTATGGTTACGCTGATGTTCTTGCCTTGTTGTAATTTAGGTAAAAGCATACAATTCAGTTTGTATTTTCAAGTGTAACCGGACGAGTATGTGAAAAAACGGTAACTCTGAAACGGATATATAAGAATGATTCATAACAGTGACAAACAGCCATATGACTGTGGACATGATATGAAAAAAAAAAACAACATTCAGAGGCGGATAAGATTTCTTTCGAGTGTCTGCTTAGGAGAGCTTTAAATCAAAGCTAACATCTAATTCGCCGGTAAACCCTTTAAGTGTCCGCGGCCGCCTACGGGAATGTAAAAATCCAGAGTTTGTGTGGGAGTTGAAACGGGATTTTGTGATGGCGGTCGTAAGTAGAGCTATTCGCTATATACGAGAGTGTCCGTTAAGAGAACTTAATCTACTGTATGAATCCGCAAATGACAGCTTAAATGAGAAGTGAATATAGTGTATTAGTCTGTGTTCAAGAAACTGTTCTCTTACACCTTCCTTATAGCCAAAGAAGTCTAGCCGACTTTTTTTGCAATGTATTAGTGCCCCCTTTTGGGTCTTTTGTATTCCTCAGAAGTTTTTCCTCAACACGTTTATAAACGGTTATTATTATATTTTTGTAGTCAATAATATACCCAGATACAGATACCAACCTGTATAGTTGTAAGACTACGAGGATTAAAATACAACTAAGTAAGTAATTATACCCAGTGGCAAGTCATTAATTGTCTAAAAATTGCACGGCACGGTCTGACTACAAAAAGGGCTATTATGGACCATTATTATCATGGTAATTAATGTCAACATCGAATAAACTCAAAATTTCAAGTAACACGACTTTCACAACCTATTTTCAACACACCAGTTATAACAGGATATTGGCGCGTACAACAATAGATAGCGTATTCCGCATTCCGGAGTCCGGTAGTCCGGCGTCACAGATTCCATCTTTTTGGCAGAGTCTAAAGTCAAAGATGGAGGGTGTTCGAGCAGGTGGTTGTTTTCTGTAGATATAGACGGATTGTCAGTGATCCTTCTTGTCCTTTGAGAATGATTTTGTTCTTTCTGACTACAACTTATTTCAAAGACTTCGAATGTTCGGTGAAAAGCCGACACTTTTAATTCTGCAATGTTTCAAGATGTTTCGATTTCATTACCTCGTCACGAAGTAACGCCACAAAGGACCAGACGAAACTGGAGCAGCAAATCTGGACTAAAGCACCTGAGAGACGTGTATGTAACATTTATTCACTATCTTTTATCCTTGTTGGGTCTTGTTTCACCTACAAGTTGGACCGATCGAAGTTTTGAACTAACTCTTTTGCTCCTTGTGTTTACTCAAGCGTTCCATAAAATATCCATCCAAACGTCCATAAATAACACAGAAAACATGCCTCAGGTGACACGTTCTAACAATTCCGCTATTAGTATCGATAATGACGCATCTGATTTGTGACTTCTCGTCAACTTTGTGCTATTTTTGTTTAAAAAAACGAATGTTACGTTTCTTCCAATTTTGGTCAAATGACAAATAAGCGTCAAGTCAGATGTACATAATACGTCATTATTGATAAAGTATGAGATTGCCCAAATATTTTATGATTGATTTGATAACCTTAAAGATGTCTTTCAAAGAATATGTGAGAATTAAGTACATAGGTTGTTGCTCATGGGAGATGTTAGCCACTAAAATACCTTAAATTTAGGGTTTGGTCAAAACAGTGAGAAGATGTCCTTACTTTAGGCTAAATAATAGGAAGAGATCGAATTAGAGAGTAAAAATAAATTACTGAGCATTAAGTTTGATAAACATAGAAGATGATAAAGTTGATTAGATTTGAAGTTGTCTTTTCTTCTTGTTGAACAGCCAAACCAAAGTTAGCTAATTAATTATGCAAAAATGAGTAGATTTTGTCGTTTTTAGGGGGGGTCCCTGTAAATCCCAGGGAATTCAATATTGCGACCTTATTTTTTGTCGAGGTTAATATCTCACCACACCCATCAATTGTGCCAAGTTTGAGCGAAATCTGTGATTTGAGCATTATCACCTCCTGCCTGGTTCTCTCATGGACACACTCTTAAATCAAACTGTATGTGCCTGTAATTATTAAACCGTAATTCAAGATTTAGCAATTTCCTTAGTCAGTTCAGTATAGCGCAGCTACAAGGATAATTGATGGAACGATTATTGGTAGAATTTGGCAATTGAGAACGAAGCACTATGGAAAAGAGAACTTACATGAGAGGTCATAGTTTTCCTCTAAATGAATATTTAAAGTGAATCTGTTAACCTACAAAACCTTTAACAAATGTAAGCAATGCTATGTTTAAGGTGTTGTTGATGTTAATGACGTTGTTGTTGTGTGTGTGTGCTTTTCAAGGTTAGGGTTTTGCTTATAATCATTTAGGGGATCCGCTTTGAGGAATTTTGAACTTATCTCAAGCTACGTCGCAGTCGCCTGGCTTTTATTTAACAAATAGATTCAATGTTGCCGTGCGTCTGTTCAGTAATAGATCACAGAGATGACGTCAAAGTGTGGTAGGAA